TTCTTATTAATATTCAACCAGAATTTGAGATAAAAGTCAATGCGGGTAAAATTTTAAATTGTTTTTGTCGGCCCGGCATTTTTCGCGGCGAAAACAACTAAAATATTTTGTTCCATATACTATTCGCCGCGTCTGCCGCCGCGATTGCCGCCCGACTCCGTGGTCCGTGGCTTGCACCGTACTGATTCATACATTTGTTTCAGTCGCCCGCGCGATTCGCCCGGTAAATTTCGCCGGTCGCGTCGCCACTCGCCGCTACGCGTGGCATGCTCCATACATTTCTATACATTTGTTTTAGTCGCTAGACGCCTCGCTGTTCGCGCCGCGTGAATTTTCGCTACGGCGAATGTCCCGTGGCCAGGCTGTTATAGTGCACGAATATATGCGTAAACCCACGTGCTCTCTCTGTACCCAAACTTATTCCGACCGATGGGACGGCAATTCGACACGACTGGAGAGAGATCAGGCACAGGACCAATGACTTTTCGTGCCTTTTGAAGCACGCGGGTATAACACCGCGAACTGTCTCACTCAGGGCTGTTTCTGAGAATCTCTTCACAGAAAACTGCTATAACTAGTTTTTGAGCACATCCGGAATAGAACCAACGCCACATAATCAGCAGTCGCAACCAAGAATTGTAGATTCATTGTTTTGAAAAAACGTTCTTTTTACTTTATGAGAATAATAAATTAAGTACGTGATTGTTTTTTAAAAAAAAAAACTAATAATATACACATATTTTATGTAGGCTTTTTGGGCTGCAACTCAGGCCTCTGTCAATAAAATGTCAATAAAAGAGTTCGTGAGTATTTTACGATGCCAATCAGATCAGAAATTAAAGATATAGATGCAAGGAGAAGCGTAAAAAATTAAATACTAGTATGGGAACAAAATACAGACGTGACATAAACATGTTGCAACTATATTAGTAGTATAGTTGTAGCACGAATGGGTCGGCTCGACCGGGGAATTCACACAATGTCTGCGTAAAATAGCAGCTTAATTTTGGTGTGTTTCGTATGGTAAGTGTAGAGAACCAGAGACCCTTTTTACTGGAAACGAGGCATTCCATCTTAGTCCTCAGGGGTGACAACACATATGCATCTTGATTCCTAATCAAGGATAGATGAGGTCTATGGGCCACAGCTTACCATCAGATAGACTGTGTGCTCATTTGTCAGCCTTTTTCTATATAAAAAAAAACAGTTTAGGAAAAAAAATCATTTTTTTAAAGTAACACCCTAAACATTGTGTTGGATAAGCTGTTTTGGATTTAAATAGAAGTCAAGTATGTGAGACATATAGTAAGAAATTCAAATGTGCAAGATAAAACAATTAAAAGATACAACAATAATAATATGGTAAACATAGATCTGTAAAGTGTACGCAATATTATACTCTGATGACGTAGACGAACATTATTAGTGAATGGGTGCATTCGGTTAAAATCTTACTAAAGTCCAAGCTAGAATCGTACACCTCTTGCAGTGAAATGGTTTTGTTTGGTTATTTTTTCCAAATTGCTTTATATATTTCGGTGTCGTTGTCAGGCACTAGCTGTAAAACGTAGCGCTCTGTCTCCAGGATGTTGTAAATAGAAAATAAACATAGAACAATAATGTTGAACAATCTAATTAATAATTTATCAGTTCGTTCCATAATTTGTGATTTAACAAAGGACAGACAATGTCATGACTCATGAGCAAATGAATAAATATGTAGCGCAAAAATCTAGAAAAGTCTTTATAATTTATTAACACATAATCTGTTAATTTATTTTGCAATAATATCTTACAGTTGCTGTTTGTGTATCTAAGTCGTATTAAATAAATAAAATATTATCCCAACATTTCTTTTTCTACATCGTAAATATAATTATAGAAAATAGTTTTTGACAAAGCGGCCATTACCCCTTAGTTTGTTAATTTTGTAGGCTCCAAATATCCAGGGCACCAAAAATTCACGGTACATCCCAGCATGGTAAATGAGTGTTAAACTTTGTAAAAGCGACAATGCGAAAAAAGGAAAAAATAATTTTTTAAACACGTACTTTTTTAATATAAAATTCTACTTTTCCATTTATACTTTACGCGTTCAAGAAAAGTGGCAACCCTAATACACAATGCAGGTTCTATTTTGGCATCGCCGTACACCATACACATTTCTGCATTTAGCGTGCTTATCCATCGAAAGGTTGTTTGAAAGAAATCGCTTTTACCGATAAGACTGCCCATTGTTACAATGATATTTTATTTTTTATATTGTTAACAAGGTGACACACGAGCGTACAGTCCACGAGGTAAGACATCTAAGCCTATCACCCCTGAAGGCTAAGATGGAGTACGTCGTTTCCAGTTAATTGTGTATCTGGTTCTCTACAGCCACTGCATTTAGTAAGAGAGTGGTTTATTCTGGTAGAGCCGACCCATTCGTGCTGTCTCCATATTTTAGCTGCAACGAGGCTCTACCACGTGTAAAAGACATCTTTTCTTGTTCGTGTTTTTGTTTTAGAATACAATAGAGAGTTATCTATTTATCTATCTAAAAGTACCTACGTTGTCTTTTTAATTTAAGCTGCGTTTTAAGTAGAGCAGTGAACAGAATCTCTGTGCGATGCGATGTGGACCCCTAGTCGAGCCGTCACCCTATCTGCAGTTGCCGTAATACAGACGTACCACGGTAACTTTATTTTTTACTTTACCTACAATGTTCTGTGTACTGATAACTTACTTTACTTTTATAAAGGTTAGGAAAAACAGTGGTAGAGCTGTATTACGGCTGCACCAGAGATTGGCTCGACTTTACAATGAAAAATTTGTAATGTGAAATAAGTTACTGTCAATCAGTGTGTAGAACATTGTAGGTTTGTAGGTAATCCCCGGGTAATGCGGCAAAAGTAGTGGATAACTTGTCTAAATTCAAAACTCTCATTATATTATTTTCATAGCATTACATTTCTGTTTCTCACGAAGGTTTTGTTAATAAAAATTCACGACAGCACACTGCTCTCAATGTTGGTGGTTGTGACTTGTGACGTGACGTAACAATTCTTAAGTAGAGTATTGCTCGGGCTCGGGCTAGCATTCAAAATGCTTTGTATCTATTATGTCAACATTCCAACTTTAAATATGCTTTAATTCAAATAACATAAAGTTCTGAATCAAACAGCTGAACAAGCCGCAGGCCGTAAAATGTAAACAAACACATCAAAATAAGCTCTGTCTTATTGTAACAAGTGCTAATTTCGAATAAGCGATAGTTAGTGATAAAAGCAGTTTTCACGGAGGTATGAGCGAACGGTCGCACTAGACGCAGCTGCCCCCTTCCCGCATCCCGCAACTGTTCACCCCTGCTCCCCGCTGTTGCCCCGCGCGTGTCGCGTTTACAAATACTAAGAGGTGTAGAAACGAAATTTGTGTGTAGAAAAGTTTTTATCTATTGTTCTTACGCCTCTCAGAGTAATTTACTAATTTATATATTACTCAATTCTTAAAATTTATATTGCAAATTTTGCGTCACTGTAGAATAGCATTAAAACTTTACAGAGCAACTGAATAATTCTAATATCAACTTTAACATATATTACTGTAAAATAGATTTATCATTTAAAACATTTAATGTAAAATAATATATGAATGTCATATTTTGTGAATATTTTGAGAATGTAATATTTTGTGTTTTAAAAGTGAAGTTAAAACAAACGATTGGAAATAAACTATTATTGTTAATAAAAGAAACTATAAAACTTTTATAATGTAGTAATATTATCAAAACAAAAAATAAAATCAATTCTCTATAGTCACCAATTAAAATAATGGCAAACCACTGTGTATATATTATGATACTAATTTTTTAAAGGGTTATCGTTACAATTTAGTTTTCTCACATTTTTCTTCACCAACGAGCACGTAGTAAAAACCGTCATATTTTTTGAGGTGAAACATCTACATCAACGTAGTGGAGAAATTGTATGAGTATATACTATTATTTAACCTACTTATTTCAAACTAAAGAAGAATGAAGAACACTTTGTATGCGTGTACACAATTACATGCACAATTATCAACACTTTCTCATTTATTTTTACACAGCAAGATCAGCAAAATAAAATTGAAAGATGTATTTATTTATATATTCATTTAGTCATTATTGCATTCCTATTAGATAATATAAAAGGCCGACATCATATGAGTTTTCTTCAGTCAACCCACGAAATATTCATAATTTCATATTCACGTAAATGTAACAAATACAGGATTTTTTTAATCTAATTACATTTACACAATATAATGTTTAAATTTAACTACATAATATATCCATTATACAGACAAATGAATTATAAAAATATTAAGTTTACACACATACATATCGTGTACTGGCGGTGTAAGCATATCCACTATCCCATATATAGGCAATAAAGAGTAGCTGAATCAGTAGATGGGTAGCAGCATCTTCCTGATATCAGCTGAATAAATAAAAGAACTACTATTATTATGATATACTTGAATGACTGATTATATAATAAGCATTGTCTTTAATAGGTGTTTACTGACCAACTTTTTAAATGCTTACTTATTGGGTGCTTTCTTCATGTCATCGAATAAGGAGTTCCACAGAAGTGTCGCCTGAACGGTGCAAGAGTTTCTATAGAACTCAGCGAAGTGAGTGAGAATAAAAATTTTGTTAGTGAAAGTAGAACAAAGAACTTCACTAAGAGATAGGAAGAGATGGTGAAAATTACTCGTAAGATAAAAACGCAAAGATGTGTGACTTAAATGGAAAATAGAACAAGCAGAATTCTGAAATTGAGTCTCTGCCGCATGATTCGTAATATAATTTAATATGTCATATTGTGAAAAATACTAATAAAACGATGTTGTATACATGTCCCAATCGTTAATGCTTATTGTTCTATCTCAATGTTTGCAATCTTTTATTCTTTGCGGCGAGCCGTCCGCGGCTCGCGTCGCCATTCTGGATATTTTGACGGGAAGGTCGGTCACGTGACGCGGCGCGGGGGACTGGCGCGGCGCGGGGCGCCGGCTAGACTCTCCGGTAGCCGAGCCATCCGTCTGCTGCTTTGACTGCGGCCAGTCGCCGGAATCCACGCCCCCGTCTCAGGCGCCCGCTCGCATCCACAACGTACCGCGTTGACGGCACTTTTCGTGATTTTTCCTATTGGATTTCTCTGGCGGATCGCGGAAAAGAAAAGTGAAGTGTGCGCTGGATAAATTTGTAATAGGCTCGCGCGACAGTTATGTGAGGAGAGGTGGTGGAGTTCGCGTATTTTTGCACGGTCGGGTGTGCGTGGTGCGGCGACGGGGCGGGGACGCCGGCGCGGAGCGGCTCGGCCGGGCCGTCGCGGCGGCGTCGCGCCAGACATGCTCGCAACGCATCCGGAGCCGGCCGCGCGCGGCGCCCGCTGAGCTGCGGCACGTGCGCTCGCGCGACGAGCGAGCATGGACGTGGTGACGCCGCACATCAGCTCCGTGCTGAAGACGTACCAGGCCAGCGCGCCGCGCAGCCTGCAGGGCCCGGGCCGAGGGCGCGCCGCGCCGCCTCCCGCGCCGCCCCCGCCGCCGCCCGCCGCGCCCGTCGCGCCACCCATACTGCTCACCCCCGACCCGGTGCTGGGCGAGCGCGGCGAGACGCTGCTGGAGGGCGAGCCCATCTCTTGCTTCAGCGTGGGCGGCGAGCGGCGCCTCTGCCTGCCCCAAATCCTCACCTCCGTGCTGACGGACTTCAGCCTCGAACAGATAAACCGCGTGTGCGACGAACTGCAGATCTACTGCTCGCGGTGCACCCCTGAGCAGCTGCACGAACTGAAGTCGACCGGAGTGTTGCCGCGCTCGGCGCCCTCTTGCGGGTTGATCACGCAGACGGACGCGGAACGGCTATGCGCGGCCTTACTGCACGCGCCGGCTGCCGCGCGCCCTCACAAGTTGCCGGGCTTCCGCGTTTACCACGAGTGCTTCGGAGGCGCACGCGGCGTTTGCGCGCCCGAAATCGGTCTTGTTCAGTGCACGGAATGCCGGGCGTTGTACGGGCCCCGAAGGTTTGTGTGTCACACGCACGCCACCGAGCACCGCACTTGCCACTGGGGCTTCGATTCGTCGCGCTGGCGACGTTTCCTGCTGGTGGCGGATGAGGAAAGCGAGCAGGAGAAATGCGCGGCGTTGCTGGACGACTTGGCCGCGCGTGACCACGCCAAGATGCACGCGCCGCTTAAAAGGAAACAGGTTAGTCTTACCGTGTTATCATTTGGAAATTCTCATTCAATAAACTATTTTTTAAAACAAACTGTTAATGTCATAAAAATTGCGTAATATTTTTAAAATTAACTTTGTTTTTAGGTAATTAGTAATTATTGGATTATACTTTTATAATCTTAGCAGGTAATTATAATTTTATCAAGAGTCGCACTGCAAAGTCTGCTAATGTATGATGATGGCCTTGTGATAAAGACAAATTACTTCCGATACTATCGAAACATCACCGGGTTCTGAACCTATAGTGATCAAACTTTACGAGCAGATAGAGCGATGCCAGGAGCGATGTAAGCTTTATTTTATCCCAAAAAATCCGAAAAAAATCATAACGTAACTGGTCATTGATTATTATTTCAAAAAATCTAAAAGACGCCACATTAACGCAAGCGAAGAATATTAATAAAATAGAGTAATAATGCAACGAAACAAGAGCAGGTCGCTAGATCGTATTAGATATACCTACCAATGTATCTATTACTTTCTACGTACGTAGTGTGAGACTTCTCTGTTTTCAGTAGTCATAGTTCTTTGTAGAATTTGTTTACCTTGGCATGATGTTTCCATTTCGATTCGCAATTGCTATAATCAACAACAAATAAGATACTAAAACTTAAATATACCATCTCGTACAAAAATTATATCAGCAAGTACCTATTATCTAATACCTATATTAAATTTTTAGTTGAAATCGATTTCATTTAAATTTCACACTAAGTATCTAGTGTTTGAAATTTAGGCTGAGAAAAATAAGTTGTTTTAAATTTACCGTAATGAAGATAATGTTTTCGTATATTTACGCGAACACTATACGGATTTTATCGCGTTTAAGATGGCAGTAGGTACCTATGCGTCTTCTCTATTGAAATTAGAATGTTTTTTAATTTCAATAGCCTCGCGTATCATCCTTGGTAGGAATCGGTGTTCTTTTGTGAGGACTTGTGATGTAATGGTGGGGACGATCTTGAACATGTTCACAGACGTGTAAAAATATACAAGATCATCCCCCGGCTATTGAAATTAAAAACTTCTTAATTTCAATAGAGAAAATGGATGGCTACTGCCGTCTGGTTGGGATCCTATAATTAAAAAAATTAAATCGAAACCCAAGCATACCACTGCAAGACTTCAAGATACTGTAAGCTCGTTCTACGTAGATCGGATCAAAACTTAATATGAAAAAACTGAAGGTCATTAACATCCGGAACCTCTCAGCCCCCCCCTCGTGACCACGGGTGCTATGAAGCACCCGAATCGTCGGGAAATTAAAAAGAAGTTAATTAAACGCCATAAAATCCGTATTAATAATAGTTTTATTCAAAACCGCAATGAAGAGTTCAAAGTGTTGGCACTTGTTTCCGCAAAAGTATTATTGCCTTATTTAATACGTATTGTAGCAGTGACAGCCAATGTACTTTTTAACATTTTAAAAAGAGCATTAAAACAATTTTTTTTTAAAAAACGTTACTTATATTCTAGGATTTTCTTCTGTATCGTGGGGGCAGTTTACACACATATATTTCAGAAGGATAAACATCCAAACCCAGAACAATTAATTGTAGTTGTAGGCCATACATAACAGCTAAACATTTATAATTGTAGCCTATCAAAACTCCATTACTGAACAAAGGCCTCATAGCCGGTATTTGGTAACTATGATCTACCACCACTCTTTGCATCTCCTGGTTTCTTTCCCTCTGTCTTATCTTACAACACCCTCGGGATGATACGGGGTTGTGGACATTCTTACACCGCCACTATACTGTTATCATATAAATTTAAAATGATAATAAGTATTTTTGAAGTGAAACTTCTTTATCGATATAGTGGAGAAATTTAGTACAGTATTAGTAAAAAAAAAGTCACGTTTTCTTGAATAGTTTCACCACCGGGGATGCATGAGTATACTATTACTTGAACTACATATGTAAAATATAAAAAAAATTATATGTCGTAAAGAAGTTTTACTTCGTACTTGTGTATACTATTACATGCACATTTTTTATTCGAAAACATGTCATTTTCACCCATTATCCCTGACCTGACCCATAGTAAAAACAGAATAGTAGGGAAATCGGCAAGACATTGTTTTCAAACGGATTCCATCAGTTAAAAAGGAGAAGAAATGTCTGGGCAGAACCACTTACCATCGACCTTGTCACCTATTCATAAAAAAAAAAAAAAAAAAAAAAAAAATCTTCTAAGAAATATACCGAACGCCACTAGTATGTGTGCGTGCCTGGAAAGTGACAGGATGGACTCGTACGCACGAGCCACAGCACGCATACAACGATACTTGTTAAGTCGGGAAGATCTGGCCGAATCGGGAACGCCCACCGGCGCGCTCCGTAATTACCTTTGTTTGAGACTGTTGACTTTTAATAAAGTTTTGCTAGCTAAAAAATAAATTAATATATGCGTTTGTTTAAGAAGAGCTTTTTATTAATAGGTTATATTACTATATCTATACATGGATACATAGCTCATTAGTACATTAATTATCATATCACATCAGATCAAATTAATTTTAAACATTAAATCTGAGCTGACACCATATGCTCAGTGTTAATTTACTCTTATGTTCTTTGGCATTTGTTGTAATGTAAATCTGGCGAACATTGGTTCTTTGAGAGGAAACTAAAGAAATGATTAAAAAGTACAAGTAAAGTTGATGTAGCAATAGGTACGTATCCGCATATATTATGTTTGTAAATATTATAACTACTTATAAAACTAAACGAGACTTGCTGTTAAACAAAAAGGCAGTGACAATCCTGCAACGTTAGGCATTTAAGTCTCACGCGGATCGGGAGTTGTCCACTGTTCTGTTTTTACTGTGCCTGACCGAAACCCTAATTAATATTCTTTATTGGTGCTCACTCCATTTGAATTATAATATTTAGCTTATCACTATAGTTTATTATTGTATAAGTGTTAAGGCCGTGTCACAGTACGTTACCAAGTCGTTGGCAGTTAGCTTTACCAAATATCCTGTTCTGATTAGAACTTCTTATCTGATTACACATGTGCATTGTTTCCCGCCACAACCTATTAAAGTCCACTGCTGAACATAGGCCTCCCTGTAGATTGCCTCATATGGGAATATTTCTCATATTTGCCATGCTTGGCAAGCGGCTTGCCAACCGCAATGTTTTAGTCGTTATTAGGAAGTCCCTGCCGCCCATCTCCTGATTTGTTCCTTATTTGTGCATTGTTTAGTTAATTAACACATTCAGTGAAATTCATAACATTCCAAATTAATCTATTAAAATTACAAGATTCAATTTGAGAATGTTATGTGAACACTTGTAAACTTGTAACTGATATGTATATCAAAGACAGTAAAAATGTTTTACAAACAATTTAGAGAAACATTTTTAATCTGTTGTTGCAATCAAGTGTTTGGCCAAGTATTATTCGCGTACGCCACCATAGAATACTACTATAATACATACATAATAGAACGGGGGTGTGGGCGGAGCCCGTCTAGCCACTAAAATGCCACAAGACGTTAATTTACACGTATAAATGTCAACACGAGATGTGTTTTGACGTACAATCTAAATTTCGCATGCAAATTATTTAGAAAATGCCAAATTGTACGCTATTTACAAATAAATATGTATTAAAATCCGTCTGTCAACACAGCGAATCGGGTTTGTAGTAGTGATTAACCGATAATACGACGTAATTGCTTGTATGTGTGCTCCCGGCGACGCCGAACCTCGGTACAAAATAAGGTTGACAGCCATTCTATTGTGTATTATAGTATTCTATGTACGCCACAGATCTTTCCATGATCTTTCTTGTTTCAATTCCGTCATTTATTCCTATTCCACTATAAACTAAAGATGATTTAAAGTTGCACCAAGTATTTGCGGCTAACACACATTATGGTTCGTAAATATGTAAATGATGTATTTAATACGCATATTAAATTTCATGTTTCGTTTTGCCTTTAGTTAAAACTGTGTTATTATTAATACCTAACATACGTACATACATAGTTTAATGTATTAATTATGTAAATTGTATTTTATTAATGTGGGCTCGTGTTGTCGAAACCGTTAATTATAATGATGGCACCCAAAATATGGTATACTTACTGGGTGTTTATAGGTTTTATATAAAGTTTAATAATATTGTTCAGTTTTGTGTTAGGGTATTCTATACCGTTATCGTTACGGCCTATTGTAATAAACTGTTGAACATAGGCCACCCCCATAGATTGCCTCGTATGAGGGATACTTGTCAGAGTTGCCACGCTTGGCAAGCGGGTTGGCAGCCGCTGCTGCTCATCTCCTAATTTGTTTCCCTCTGGCGCCTCTTATGACACCAACGGGATGATAGGGGAGGGGATGTTCTTTAACCGCCACTACATGGTAATCCAATAATCTACATATATTGAAGAAAAAGTTACTCTATTCTATTCTACTCTGTTAGCCTAAAACTTGTTCTCACCATAGCTTAAAAACATTTCGGAAACATTTTTATGTATATTAAATTAGTCTGCCACAGAAAAGTTGGCGTTTGTGATCAAGTCATTAAAAGGCAACAGTACTCGCGCAACGCACCCGTGCCGGTCAGTGCATTCATAATTTGAATGACGTTTTCGACTTAGAGAAAACTAATCATCCGTAGTTTCAGACGCATTCTAACTAATAATACACTTTATAAAAATTCGTCAATTGTTTGCAATTCATTGAGTTAGGTAATTTTTAATTTTAAAGTTTTTTTTTATAGGATAGGGTGACAAACTAGCACACAGTCCATCTGATGGTAAGTGGTTGCTGCGGCTACATCTATCCTCGATTACAAATCAAAATGCAGATATGCGTTATCACCCGTGAGGACTAAGATGGAATTCCTCGTTTCCAGCAAAAAGGGTCTTATCAAGTCAAATTTACTTTAAATTATTGTCATCGAGAATCTTCATTTTTTTTTATAACCTGTCAACAATTACAGTGCCTCCA